AAATGGCAATTAAAATTATTTCAAACTTGGCCATAGTTATTACATAGTAGTCTATATATTACAATGTTCAAATACTTTGGTGAATTGCTATATACAACATTTTAAGATTGTTCAAATACTTTTGCGATGTGTAAGACGTATATATCCGCTCGTATTAAATATCTCATAATTTCTAAAATACATTTTAAAACAGATACATGTAGAATACATAAATGGCAATTAAAATTATTTCAAACTTGGCCATAGTTATTACATAGTAGTCCATATATTACAATATTCAAATACTTTGGTGAATTGCTATATACAACATTTTAAGATTGTTCAAATACTTTTGCGATGTGTAAGACGTATATATCCGCTCGTATTAAATATCTCATAATTTCTAAAATACATTTTAAAACAGATACATGTAGAATACATAAATGGCAATTAAAATTATTTCAAACTTGGCCATAGTTATTACATAGTAGTCCATATATTACAATGTTCAAATACTTTGGTGAATTGCTATATACAACATTTTATATATCATATGATAGAAATGCTAGCAGAGTATTGTGATTCAGATAGGAAAGAGGCGTTCGACGAAGAATGGGCGTTCGCTCGCGCGAACCGCCTTGCCCAAAATACACCCGGTTCGCACACGAGTCGCTCGTATTTCTAGACGCCGATGTAGATTCAATGTAGGGCTCGAGGATCGCATGATGTAAGCCTTTAGTGATCTCTACAGAGGCATCGAGATTGCCTCTCGATTGACTCGCGCGCTCTCTCTCTCGGTTCTCTGTGCCTTTCTTCGGCCGATTCTCCTCGAATTCTCAAACAACAGGAGAACAACTCCTCTTTCTCTCTCGTTCCATCGTGGCGCCGGATCATGACGGAGGAAAAGCCGGATTACATTAACGAAAAATGGGAGCACATCGATCAGAAGGTGAGTCGTTTCTCCCTGGATTTTGTTCGTTGATCCTCGCTCTGTTGACCTTGACTTTCTTCCACCGTTGCGTAAGCGTCGCGACACCGCGCGAAAAAGGCTCGCTAATCGAAGCAGCCCGATCGAATCATCCTGGAAAAAACGAACCGAGTGAATGGAGCTTGTTCATCTCTTGAAAGAGTCGGGTTCGTAATCAGAATTTTTTGCTTCTTCACGAAGAAACGAGAGAACGATACGAACGATTATTCTTAATTTGAATTTTTTCTTTTTTTTTTTTAGGAAAGAATTTATCAGTATTAGGAAAAGATTTATCTTTTGTTTAGAATGTAGCGTTTACGTGCAATATTATGAAAATTCAAGTATATCTGATTTAACATAGATAATATTTTTTTGAAGAAGAACTTACTGACGCTAAAAAAAAGATTACATTTTATTTTTTAGTTTTATTTATGCAAGAGTATATGTTCATTTTTATATATTTTTATACTTATATTATTTTACACAGAAATACGTTTACAGAGATAGATGTACTAAAATATTCGATAACACCGTGCATTTAAATGCAATAATTTAAATGCGAAAATCCGAGCATATTTGGATCAAGCGGTTAATTTATAATGATTGCTTCGTTTGAAATCTACATCAAATAAATGCAAATAATATAAAGGGACAGAGAAACCTTCGTTGTCCGAAAAAATGGGTCGCGGTGACGATTCAACAGCTGATCGCGACATCGAGATTGGTGAATGCTGCGCTTGGAGGCTATCGATTATGAAACAAGCATATTCTTGCGTCCCTTTTGGCGACCGTCGTCGTCATCTTTGAACTACGACATAAAATAAAATTTTCTAATTATAATCCATTCACAAACTAAAAATCCGCAGAAGCTTCAGTGACTCGTCCGAACTAATAAAAAATATCCAACAATAATTCTTCTTTTTAAACGAAAGTGAAAATCTATTTCGTCGAAACAAGTGCCATTTTCGTTCTGACTTCGAAATATCTAACATAGAATATTTATTAGTACAATATTACTATTGTAACAATTTGTTATATACAATAATATTGGCAATGCAATAATAATAGCAGACTTTTCACAGATTTCAAGCAAATTTTCATTCAGATTCCACTCTTCAAATGGAAGATACAACGTCATGCTAGCGTAAGCTGCGATGAAAATTGGCGAGACATCACGCGTGCATTGTGTCGTGCGCGACTGTGAAAAGTCACATTCTTAATGATTGCGCTAACACTGTCACATGTGACGCGATCGTTCGAGTCTTCGAAATCGATCAGCCGCGTTTCTTCTGTTCTCTCGTGCAACCGTGTCGAAGAACCCTGTTATTTATTCTCTCCCACCATTGTGAACTTGATCTGTTGCATCTGGACACATGTGACGACGTTCAGAAATTATTATACGTACATATCTACTATACTCTATATTCCTTCTCATTGTACTTTTTGCTTTATCTCTTTTTATACATTTTTTTTTTTTTTTTCTTTTTTGGTAATACGTATTCTAATGCGACGCGACCAGACTGCATTTTTATATTTTTATAAACGCAAAGAAAATGGATATAAATAACAAACTTGCATCGTTTACAAAATAAGTCATAAAAAGTGCTGTACTTTCAATATCTCGTATATTCTTGATTATCATAGCTTCGTGCTGTGGATTTTTTGCGTCCTTGAATTTCCCGGAAGTGCATGAACATCCGTTGTCCAGTGATGATTGAGCTGCGAACGTATTCTTTATAAAGAAGTGAAATCTAAATAAAGTTTTGTGTCATTCGCTGTACGTTAGTTTGGATATTTTGCATATTTTCATATTATATTATTGATATCGCATTAAATAAATTCGCAGTTTAATGATAATGTTAGATGACAATGTTCAATCTATTATACAATATACAGTCTACTTTTTTTTTCATCACGTTTGCCGTGTAACGACGTTGGATTCTGTCATTGTTTTTCCGTATTTTTATTTTTGAACAACGTTACGAAAAATCATATAAAAATCAAACAAAAATTGTCTCGCTATTGTTTGTACAGACATATTGTGCGTATAGATACATTCATCTAGCGTATGTAATTTATTTTTAAATGTGTAGATTTATAAGACAGAGGGACACTTGTGGTTTCATATTTGATACTATTGTCTCCGAGAGGCAATTAGGCGTTGCATGGAGGGATGAAATTGGCCAGTTTTAATCAATAAATGGCCAAACGAGACCGCCAATTTCGGAAGGAGACTTAAGAAAGAAAAGTAGTGCAATTTCAATGAACACAACTGAATTAATAATGAACAAATAACTTTCGATACATTTGAAACTGTTACAGTTGGCTCTCTATTTTAAAGAGCAAAGCCACCACTTTGATAGCTCTGACTTAGATTTTCTCTCGTAATCTTCTCTAAAGATTATTTATTTTATTCCCATGAACAATGTACTTGGTTTACCTCAACCAATTATTTTTGCCTCTTTCGTCGTGGGAAAAAATCATCACACGACCCTTGGACTTGGAACTTGCACCGCGGAGGAAGGTTCAGCTGGCGGGAAAGTCAGCTGACGTGAGTACTAT